ATCAATATTCTGAAAAGTGACAATCATTTTCATATATTAAAAAATTTTGTAAAATCGGTAGAGTTACCAGACATTAGGGATAATGCTTTAAATCTTTGTCTCTAAATCTATCTTGACTAAGGCTACACATCAAAAGAGAAAAAGTAAATCAACTTCAACCTTAATGAGGAAGCAAATGTTCAGTTTTTGCATCAAAAAGCAAGTCTGAAGAGAGGACCTAGTTGTAGAAAATGATTCTGTTAATGAACCTGCAAGAGGAAATATAGCTATCAACTCCTCTCAGCATCAAAAGTCTAGACTTGGATCCAGTGAATGCTTAAGTTATATGTGAAACAACACATAACTCAACAACCAACAGAGAAGACAGTTAATTTAAAGGCCATGCTCTCCACACAGATGTTTGGGTTGTCTATGGTAGGGGTGTGTGTGTGTGTGTGTGTGTGTGTGAGAGAGAGAGAGAGCGTATTTATAGTTAAGGGAGTAGAAAACTCCCTTCTCTAAAGCTTGTGGCTGAGTATTCCTCAGTTCTTCCTTCCCAGGCCTGGCAGTCATTCAAGAGTCATGACAATGATAAGCTAACAGTTATAACCCTGGTGTGCTGGTACCTAGAAACATATCAAAGAAGTTTTTCAAGTCTTTTTAAGGAGTAATAAGAGTAATAAGTATTTATTGTAAATACTAACAAATTCATGTAAACTCAAATACCAAATAACATGCAGCATCTGTCTCTATCCTACATAGGAACAATGATAGTCTCCTGGATCCAAATATTCTAGGACAATTTGGCCTAGAGTGTTGTGTCTTCTTCAAAGGACACAGAGAGGTACACCTCTCATCAAAACATATGAGTTTAGAAGCTGTGGTCATCCCCAATAGGGGCTTTTGACGTCTAGTAAAAACTCTTTATTTCTGGAGGTCAGAATCCTGACCTCCAAATAACTCAGATGTTTGAGAAAAAGTTATTTTATTGAGAGGATTAGAGAAGATGCATTCCTAGAGTTCATAATTAGGACACAGACTGCATTTTTTCATATGGGAAAATATAAAAATAAAAGGTAAAATGAAATGTTACTATTAATACTATAGATTAAATGGCTTTGTATTGCAACTTCAGAACCTGATAATTTGTGACAGTGTTTCTGTGTAAAAAGCAACTTAACAATAAACTTGAAAAGCTAAATCTGTCTAAAACGTTGAGATTATCTGTGCTGTTAATATATTGCAACTTCCAGAGCAATTCATATAGTTGCAATTATTGTCTTATAAAATTTTTCAGTTACTGCTCCCAATAATTCAATGTGTTTGGCAAGGAATGTGATATTGTTTTCATTTCTCAAGTGGTGACATCCTTACAGAAAAGTATGAATGACCTGCCTAAACTCATTTCATTAATTCATTAAGCCAATGCTCTCCTTTTGTCAGCCAGCAAGACCCGCTACTGGCCCCATATTCCCAACCACTGACATGTTCAGCCATGTGTGTTTAACTTCCTTCATATTCTCAGTTCAAATACTTCTGCTTTCATGAAGAAATCTCTGATAACCCCTGCTGATAGTGATTGTTTCTTCCTTTGACTGCATAGCACTTTTTCCTCTCTTCCCACCATGAGTAAATGGATTTAGAATCAGAAGATCTGTTTAGAGTTCTGCTTGGTCATTGACTAGCTGGAAGCAAGTAAACTAACCATAATAAACAAATGAACCTCAGTTTTCTCATTAGTATAACAAGAAAACACAACATATGCCATACTATGTGGACATTTAATTATGATAACACAAATAAGAAAGAACTATGTCAAGTGTAAAACCCTGCACAGTTATTTTTCATATACATTTTTTCTTTCTTATATACAACTCTCATTTATTCTATTTGCTGTGTGAGGGAAGAGTGCATGTCTAATGAATCCTTGATTTTGCCGTAAAGCTCAATGGTGGTTCACAATTAGGCATTTGATACACATTTGTAAAACTCATGATCACAGGTATGATTATATTAATCAAAGGAAGTTTCATATACTAGAATTCTCACCACTCTCTGCTAAGTATCAAAGTCCATAATCTGACTCCAAACTCATTGCCCATTCTTTCCCCACCCTAGTTCCCGATATACATCCTGTACTTTCTGGCTCTTGGTTTTGGCCCATTTACCACCTTCTTTTACATCTTCTAGCTGTTGAAACTGTGCCCATCCTTACATACCTAGATCAAATGTCATTTTCTCCATAAAGAAGCTGCTCTTAATCTTACCCACTGGAAATGAACACTTTCTACTCTGAAGCCCATAATATTTGTCAGTTATCATCTAGAGCTCTCATCATTTGGCCACAAATTTCCTTATGCATATCTTACCTAGTATATTTTAATCATGTTAAGGTTATTTCATATATAAATTCATATTTCAATTATACCTGTATGTAACAAATGCCTGCCACACAATAAAAACAAACCAAACTCACTGCCATGAGTTGATTCTGACGCACAGTGACCCCACTGGGTTTCTGAGGCTGTAAATCTTTATACAGGAGATTGTCCATTTTCCTTCCACAGAGTGGCTACTGGGTTTGAATCACTGACTTTCTGGTTAGCAGCCAGATGCCTTATCCATTATGCCACCAGAGGCACTCAAATATTTGTGGCTTAAATGCCTAGCAGTATGTTTCTGCTTTCTAAATTGTCACTAAAACATGATGAATCCCAACATTTTCTATAACAAACAGCCACATTATTACAAATACCTACCAAGACAGTATACTATGGTTAGAAATATGTTTGCCAAAATTAAAAAGCTATATATATAAAATCAAGATACTTATAATCTAATTTATTCCATAATTATAGGAATAAATTAGATGCAACTTTATCAGGAAAAGAAGTCTTGTTTAAAAATGCTAAAAACTCAAACTCACTGCCATCAAGTCGGATCCGACTCATAGCAACCCCTCCTTGAGTTTCCAATGCACTGTCACTATGGAAGCAGATTGCCCAATCTTCTTTATGAGAAGTGGCTGGTGGATTTGAACCACCAGCCTTCTGGTTAGCAGTCAAATGCCTCAGGCACAACGCCAACAGAGCTCCTTGTTTAAAAAGTCGATGTACTCAGTATAACTTTCAGTTAAAAGATTAAAAAATACCTGACAAAACAACCAGATGTTGACATATTTTAAATACATACCTTTTTTTATCTTTCAATATAATACATATCCCAATTAAAATAACAGTTACCAATAATCATCACTGTTGTTATTATCATAACATAGATTTCACTTATAACAAAAGTACATAAGCCTGCTCTCTCGGGGATAGTTAAATCACATAATCCTTCATCGCCTGCTGTCGGCTCCTTACTGGGCCATTCACAGACATGATGCATGGACGGCCCACTAACCAGCTGTCCTCCAGATGGACAAAATGGGTTCCATGCCTTTTCATCAGGGAGAGGCATCAGCTCTCTTTAAAATATGAACTTCTGTTATATTCCCTAGACTCTAAGCCCCTTTATCTCACTTTTTTAATCATTCCCTCGTCACTGTATTATTTCAGAGATGTTTGGAATTTTTATGCTTTTGTGTGCTTTTTGTGCCCTCTACCCACAAGGTTCCCAAATCTCTAACTATGGAAATGCTACTTTCTTTAGGGTCTTCAGGTGTTAAGTTAATATTAATAACTTGCTGATAATTATTTTTCTATCATCAATGTGAATGGACAAGCTTGCATTCATCTATATCACCACTGACCCTTTATGATCTGATGTGGCAGGAAGGCTTACCCAGAGACTTGGCAATATAAACTGAGATCCTGTTGAGATGCTACCCATCAGTACCAAACCTGCTCTAATGACTTGTTTATTTTATGAACTGATCTATGCTGTTATCAATGACTCTCAACTAATAAGATAAGCATACTCTTATTAGCTTATATCAGAATTATTGGCAAGGAAAGGGGATGTATGGTTCTAAAAAATGTATTCAATACTACATCAAAATTGTGTTTAAATTGTCAAAACACTGTCTACTTCTTTCCTATAACAAATATGATCCTAGATGAGAATATCATAATTTTGGGGAGTAGGAATATGTATTTAAATGACAAAGCAACATCCATGTACACAAAGTAATAGTGTGGATCTTACACATAGTGTGAAATGAGCAGATGCTAAGCATCTTTCAATCAATTCATATTTGTTTTACATGCCACGTTTCTTGGACATTGTGGCAATATTTTGGACTTATCTTTTGAGGAGGAATATATACATATGTGTGTATATATATGTGTACATATAGATAAATGTATGTGTGTGTATATATAAATATATGTATGTATGTGTATATATATATATA